TGGCCACAGGTTTGTGGCAGGTTGATGTGAACACAAGAACAGTGATGAGCACACCTTCCTCAAAGTAGAACGTTCCTCGGTATTCAGCCTAAAAAAATACATCTGTCTCTCTTTATATCCAGCTCGCATTTGGAATTGTATTCCAATGGCCAATAGACTGCCATAGTAAATTTTCTTTCCTAAACTTCATCCCCATAATTCAGAGCTGCCAACCATTAAGTCTCTTGAGCCCCTTCTGCTTGTCAGTATTTAACTGAAATCCATTGGGAGTACAGAAAAAGCAGTGCAACTCAGTGTCCTAAATTGCTATGTGTCTCTAGCAAAGCACCTTGCTGTAAACACAAAATTTAAAACAGCTGTATGTAAGTTGGATATGTGAGTTTGTTTTTGTCTCCATTTAGTTCATTTACATAATTGTATACTCAATAGCAGTTCCCTGTTGATTCTGGACTGTGGTACACTATTCCATGTAAATATGTGAATATATGTAACCCATTTTGTATTTGAGAGTTACCCTACCACTAAAACTGAGATACAAAGGTAGTGTATAGTTGTTTACCTACTTTTATTCCAGAAGTGTAGAAGAGTTTTGGCATAGAAAGGTTTCACTGTTGATACACAGTAGGTTAATAATGTATGTGTTTTTTGGGTAGAAGGTGTGTAAAGGTATCACACACAGAATAAAGCAACTATTCTTTTGAAGCTTGTAACAAGCTTCCAAGTGTAATAGAAAAATAGGAAACAATATATTGTAAATTAATGACTTCTTACCCTGTGGGGATAGAAGAGATTGGATTTTATCCAAAACATTCATTTTACAGAATCTATAGCCTGGTAGTGTTGATTTGAAGAGTTTCGGTGAGATGTTTCTACTTGCCTACTGTATATTTAGCAAAATCTAAGGAAGGATAACAGTGTAAAATGATCTTCCTTAAAATACACCTTCTGCTTCTACCTTGAATACCCTGAGGCTGCAGAAAGTGTATCCTACTGAGACACCAAAAGCCATAATAAGAAAAAGATTTCAAGCTTTTACAGCATGCAAAAGTTGAAGCAACATGCTCTGAAACTGATGCAAATTTAAGATTGTTGCCTTCTTTATTTGCCTTGCACTTATAAAAGTAGAACTAAGAAAAAAAGTAATTCTGAAAGCAAAATTGCTCAGCTTCCTTTCACTTCCTAGAAAGAGGAACCTCAGTATATAATTTCTTTTGCGGATGGTCCGCTTGGAACCTTAACTTGACTGGGTAGAGGCTTTATTTCTTTGTACAGTTTTGGAAAATCTCCAGTTAGCTGAAGTCAATGCTTTGTATCCATCTATATTTTTCATCAGAAATAATTATGGATTAAAGGTTTATTTCATCTTTTGCCAAAACATTGATTGAATAATAAAAAATAGACACCCGAGGGTGATCTAATTATTTGCAACAATTTTTTGGAAATATAGAAACATGCTGGTGCTGAGGTTAAAGAAGAATTCCAGCTTTGAATACTTTTACATAGTTTCATTGGTCCAGCTTGGACCAATGTAATTAGGCCTATAGTATACCGTTCCTGTGGGATCCTTCTAGAAGCTGGAAATCACTGTAATAGACACCGCAACTACAGTGATCTCCATTATGCTCTAGGGCCTGCTCTGAGTGGCTGTCCTGCTGAATTGTGAACTCAAGAGGTCATCCACTCAGCATGGACTTTATTCAGAGAATGCTTTGCAGTTTCTCAATTAATGCAAAGCATTTTCTGATTGGATGAGTGGAGAAAATGACATCATTGCCCTGTCAACAACAGTTCATCCAATCAGAGAATGTTTTACATTCATTGAAAATATGCAAAGCGACCTCTGAATGGTTCCTATGCAGAGTGACCTGTATTCAAAAATGCAGCAGGGCAGCAGCTTAGCACGGGATCTTGAAGCTAGTAGAGATCACTGGAGTAGTGGATTCTCAGCTGGGAACAAATTCATTGATTAGAAATGTGTTCATTCCCTTTGAAATAAAAAAAAATTCCATACTTGTCCTTCAATTTTTTTTTTTTACTCACTCCAGTCAAAACCAGTTGTTGAATCAGCCCCTTTAACTCTTAGATAATCAAAAATGATCTGAAAAATGACAAAATTCTACAGGTGTCAGACCAGCTGAACCGCTGGCCACCATTGTAAAGGGGCATCTCACCATTGTCCCTTATTGTAAAGGACCACTTCACCACGGACCACAAAGATAAGGGGGTGCTTCATCACTGACCACCAACGAAAAGGGTGTTTTATTTCAGGCTCATTTCAGGCTCATCAGGCTCACTGGTCCACTTTTATTAAAGTAGGACTATCAATTGACCATCAATGTAAAGAGGAGTGAAAATATGCCACGACAATGCAGGTATAAGTAGATGTGTAATATAGGCTGCTGACAACTAGTTGTGAAGGTGTTAGGAGTTTAAAATGTCACATCTTGCAGGGTTTTACTGAAACGGGGTTACCAGATGGGGTCCCTGTCAAAATTTTGCTACATGACCCTCTGTGTAGCAGTTTCTTCAGGAAAATGAGCACTGGGAGACTATGCATATTCCCCTTAAATTAAAACCTGGCTAGAATGCGTAAAAACAATGTAAGACCTTGCTGTGAAAAATCCACCTCTCATGGAAAATGATAGAATAATATGGACAATAATAATGGGGCTTTCTACATTTACACTGCTCCAACTCAATATATATATACAAATATATACATATACTACATATATATAGCGTTCAAGTCAAACCAGGACTTTTGAGCTTATATAATAAAAGAACAAATTTCAAGACATGGAAATTGCACTTATTTTTCAATACACTCCTCTGCTACATTTATACACATATCCCAGCATTTAACTAATGCCTGGAAAGCTTCAGAATAGAAAGATTTGTCAGTACACCTGAACCATTCTAGGACAGACTGCTTCACTTCGTCATCATTGTGTCCACTGTTCCCACAGAAAGATTTGTCTCTTGTGCAATTTCACGTCAAGTTTTGCATGGATTATCCAAGATCCGGTGTTCCATGAGCTGAATATTCACAGGAATGACAGCAGTGGACTGGGAACCACCATGTCCAGAACTGTCACCCGACGGACATATGGCCATCTTTGAAATGTTTACACCATTCAAATGTCCTACTTGGCTGGGAGTCTCATCACTGTACTGTGCTTATTATTATTATACAGGATTTATATAGCGCCAACAGTTTGCTCAGCGCTTTACAAAGTAAAGGGAGACAATACAGCAACAATACAGTTGAATACAAGAGGGTTAGGAGGGCCCTGCTCCTCGGAGTTTACAATCTAGGAGGAAGGGGCTGCTGGTACAAAAGGTAATAACTGTGGGGGATGGACTGGTAGAAGGAATAGAAGATTCCATTATTAGCTGAAGGCGGGATAGGCTTCCCTGAAGAGATAGGTTTTCAGAGATCACCTAAAAGTGTACAGAGTAGGCGATAGTCTGATAATTGGGGTAGAGCGTTCCAGAGGATGGGGGAGGCTCTGGAGCAGTCCTCTAGATGAGCATGGGAAGAGGACACAAGGGAGCTAGAGAGCAGGAAGTCGTGGGAGGGGCAGAGAGGACAGTTTGGGTGATATCTGGAGACAAGATTGGTGATGTAATTTGGGGCAGAGTTATAAATGGTTTTATATGTGATTGTTAATGTTTTGAATTTTATTTGTTGGGCAACGGAAAGCCAGTGGAGGGATTGGGAGAGAGGGTTGACAGATATGGAATGGTTAGTAAGGTTGATGAGTCTGGCACAGGGGTGGATTGACAACTCATGGGGCCACCGAGCAATAGAGGACCATGGGGCCCCTGTGTCTTTGCCCAAACTCAAAAAAGCCTATGAAAAAGGTACCAGGGGCATCTCATGGGGCCCCCTACTGACCCCGGGCCCTCGGGAAGTGCCCGAGTTTCCAAATGGTCAGTCCGCCCCTGGTCTGGCAGCAGCATTCATGATAGACTGAAGAGGGGATAGCCAGTGATTTGGTAGGCCAATGAGGAGGGAGTTACAATAGTCAAGGCGAGAGATAACCAGAGAGTTAATAAGTTGCTTAGTAATTTCGGAGGTTAAGAATGGGCGTATCTTGAGATGTTGCGGAGGTGAAGTTTACAAGTTTTGGACAGTGATTGGACTTGGGGCTGAAAGGACAGATGGGAGTCTAGGATTACACCTAGTACCCTGGAGGGACTGATGGTTGTATTATTGGTCTTGATGGAGAAGTCAGGGGAGGGGGCACGGGCTGGAGGGAATAGTATGAGCTCAGTTTTCGAAAGATTGAGTTTGAGGAAGTGGAGTGACATTTATGCCGATATGTCACTTAGTAGGTTAGTAATGCGAGAGGAGACTGAAGGGGTGAGGTGAGGAGTAGAAAGATAGATTTGTGTGTCATCAGCATAGAGATGGTACTTAAAGCCATGGGAGTTTATCAAGTCAAGTGACCAGGGGAGGAGTGTAGATGGGGAAGAGAAGGGGGTCCAAGGACTGAACTTTGAAAGACCCCTACAGAAAAAGGAAGTAGAGAAGAGGAGACAGAGTTATAGGTAAAGATGAAGGAGCGCTGCGATAGGTAGGAGGAGAACCAGGAGAGAGCAGAGTCTCGGAGTACTTGAAGTCTTCTGTAGATATCCGTGGGTTTTATGCCTTCATTCATAAGAAACTTCATCACCACATGCTGTTCCATGCACGCACTAACACTGTTGTCTACTATTGTTTAATAGTCTCTGGACTGGCCCATGACATGTGCGCCGCCTATCAGTAAAAAGACACATTTGCCACTTACTACTGTGTGTAGTACTGCCACACTAGCATTTCTTATTATACCTGTAAAATTTAAAGTCATGGTTTGACTTGAACACCCCTTGTGTGTGTATATATATATATATATACTATATATGCCAAAAGTATTGGGACGCCTGCCTTTAAACGCATATGAACTTTATTGGCATCCCAGTCTTAGTCCGTAGGGTTCAATATTGAGTTGGAACACCCTTCAGATTGCCAGACAGAGAAGCGTGATTTATCACTCCAGAAAACACATCTCCACTGCTCTAGAATCCAGTGGCGGTGTGCTTTACATCACTGCATCTGATGCTTCGCATTGCACTTGGTGATGTAAGGCTTGGATCCAGCTGCTCGGCCATGGAAATCCATTCCATGAAGCTCTCTATGCACTGTTGTGCTAATCTGAACACCACATGAAGTTTGGAGGTGTTTAGCTACTGGCTCTGCAGACAGTTGGCAACTTCTGCGCACTATGAACTTCAGCATGTGCTGACTCCACTCTGTCATTTTACGTGGCCTACCACTTCATGGCTAATTTTCTGTTGTTCCTAGTTGCTTTCACTTTGTTATAATACCACTAACAGTTGACCGTGAAATATTTAGTAGGAAGGAAAATTCACAGATGGCAACGGGTTTGCACGTGTGACATCCTATCACGGGTACCATGCTTGAATTCACTGAGCTCCTGAGAGCAACCCATTCTTTCACAAATGTTTGTAGAAGCAGTCTGCATGCCTAGGTGCTTGATTTTATACACCTGTGGCCATGGAGGTGATTGGAACACCTGAATCCAATGATTTGGAGGGGTGTCCCAATACATTTATCAATATAGTGTATATATGTATATATATATATATATATATATATATATATATATATATAAAATATATAGTGACATTATGAAAGGCGAGGTGATTGATCGATGCTATGTCTCACCTCGCATACGTTCATATCTGGGAGGTGGAGTCCAGTCTGGGTTTTCCAGGCCACTTTGGCAGAGTTGGTTCCGGACCGGATTTTGCAGTCCACTGATGACCACTAGCAGGTAGTATAAAAAAAGCAGGACTGGAGCAAGAAGTTGCTCTTGGCCTGGGACTAAGGGGGGGCCATACCTGAGGGAGCTGTGGATGAAAGAGTTTGCTTTGTACAAGAAAGGAAAAGGTTTGCGCACCGTTTTGTTTTGTTGTTGACAGGGAGAAGTCCTTCACCTGTGAGATAGGAATCCCCTCTGTTTAATTAGTGCCTGGGTGGCGAGGGTTTATTTTCTGTTCTGTTTTGTTCATGATGCATGCAACCTTTTAAATAAAACTGGCTACAAGTCATATTTTTAAGAAAGACCTGCCATCTGGACTACCTTTTTCCCAGGGAAGGTGATCCCCTACCTGAGCTAATCCCCACAATATACTGTATATACATTCTAGATAGAGGATCTAACCTTTCTCCTCTATCCAAAACACCTTTAGTGTTCTCTATAAAATAGGGCTGCATATTTTCTGACAGCTTTCCTGCTCTTCCAAATGCAAATTGTGAGATATAAGATTTGTCAGCCCACGGATGGTTGAAAGCCCCAGCAGGTGATTTGACTCTTGGTTGTTTTAGCCTTCTGAAGGCCATACATCTAAAAACAGCAAGAGCAGCACTGCCTGCTAGCTATAGAAAATTGTGAACATGTCCATCATGCAAGCTGTATTTACCCAGGAAACAAGACATAGAAGAACATGAGTGAAAGGGATATTCACAGACGTGACAGAAGTTCGATCTCTCTCTTATGCCCTTTTCAGAGAAGTTATTGTTGTTTTTCAACATGTTAAAACACTGTGAAAAAAAGGAAAGGATTATCTAAATTGTGAACTGTTGAGAAAAATCTATAAGTCTCAAGTTTGGTAAAACATAATAGTATGTGTTAAAGCTGCCTGTAATGTCCAGTTAAACAAGTGTGTTCACTGCTTGATGCTACTTTCTTCCATAAGCACCGTGTAATGCCTCTTAACATTAACATTGTCACATAGATTTTCCTGGTTACTGCTGAACAATAACATTCTGAATTATCTCTCCCTCTCACTATTGAAACAAGAAAAATAATGGGTAGGCTATGATTCCTAAGAATATTGGAAATATAAAAATAATACAAAACAATAAAATATGCCATTATATATTTTTTCATGGTTTGGCTTGTTATTCTAAATTTAGTTTAGGTCAATATATCAGAATTTTAGAGATTGGTGCAGGTACTCCCTCTCAGCCCCCTGGGTCACCCTCCTACCCACCTTCCAGCACCACAGTTGTTTCCACCCCTACCCAGTTCTCAGCACCTTCACCCCCAAAAAACATTTTAAGTGATAGAGTAGCGTGACGTATGGTGGGTTTGGCCAGGTTTTGCTAAAAGTGAGCGTAGCTTAAAGGGGCATGGTTAAATAGAAAGTCTAACAAGCATGTACAACACTCAACACAATTATTTAAAAGAATAATTTTCTTCTATTACATTTGCTTTTTAGCCTACATTAAGACAATATCCATAAAATAGTCAGTCGGAAACTTTTGAGTCAATAAACCCTTTGGTCAGAAGCATTGGTGGTCAGTGGCTGGCTGTAAAAAAAGGGGGCCCCCAATTCACTTCCTTCACATCCAAAAGTCCCAATCACATCTGAAGCTTCTATTCACATCATTGTCCCCCCTTTCACATCAGAGTCTCACCTTCACATCTGAAAGCCCCGATCACATCTGGAGCCTTTCTTCACATCAAGCCCCCCCTTCACATCAGAGTCCCCCTTTCACATCTGAAAGCCCCAATCACATCTGGAGCCTCCCTTCACATCAAGGTTCCCCCTTCACATCTAAAAGCCCCAATCACATCTGGAGCCTCCCTTCACATCAAGGTCCCCCCCTTCACATCAAGGTCCCCCTGTTGACATCTGAAAGCCCCAATCACATCTGGGGCCTCCCTTCACATCAAGGTCCCCCCTTTCACATCAGGCCCCCACCCCTTCACATCTGAAAGCCCCAGTCACATCGGGGGCCTCCCTTCACATCAAGGTCCCCCCTTTCACATCAGGCCCCCACCCCTTCACATCTGAAAGCCCCAATCACATCTGGAGACTCCCTTCACATCAAGCCCCCCCCCCCTTCACATCATAGTCCCCACTTCACATCTGAAAGCCCCAATCACATCTGGAGCCTTTCTTCACATCAAGGTCCCCGTTTCACATTAGAGTCTCCCTTCTAAAAGCCCCATCTGTAAATCTCAGACAATGTTAGCTTCCTTTACAGCTATGTCCTGTAATCTTCAAAATTCCTTTGCCTTTCATGCAATAGAGATAAAAAGAGAGAGACATGTTTATAGTCAATATCAGGAGGGCAACCTAGAGTGTCATCACTGCTCCTTCATAGGTACAAAACCAAGGAAAAATAAAGGAAAAAATGTCTTAAGAAAAGAAAATGAATGCAGTTGTCACATCTGGTAAGAACTGGTAAATTACAGTATACTCTTGTTTTGTATTTGGGTTGCATAAACACATAGGAATAAAATGTTTATTACCAATAAACTAAGTATTTTTCTGGTCCAGTTTTATACTGTTTAACAAAACAGTTGATAAATCTGTTCTATGTAAAACCTCAAAGGCTCATGTCTAATCAGGGAAAGTTGTGAAAAAATAGTCCTTAGGGTGTTTCTTTTAGTTTTCATTTTGTATTATTTTGCATTTAAATATTATTGTTACTGTCATCATTACCATTCAAAATTGGTTATGAAAGTCAGTTGGGGTGCTTAAGCCGGCCATAGACAATTCGAATTTCAGCCGATTCAGCAGGGACTAGCCCAAAACTTGAACCATGTATGGGCAGGCTGAATGTACCAAAGTTATTCAACCGATCAACTTGGGTACAACCAGCCTGTCGGATTTTACATGTGAATATTGCTAATGGCTATTATAGCCACTAGCAGTAATTACTATGTTCCCCCTAGGTGAGAATGCCCCTCGCCTGGAGAACCCAATGGCTCCATGGGAGGGATTCCCCCCTCAGCACTGACCATCTATGGACAGCCTTAATTTCCTTTTTTTTTTTGTCACAAGTAATGCTTAATTCACTTTTTGTTTTATTCTGTTTTTTTTTATGTCACCATTGAATCATTTCAAAATTAGGGAATTCGAAAGTACAGCTTCTGGTAGAGTATAACTATGAAGAAAATGGAACTGCTACAACAGCCTTTAGCCACTAAAGTCCAACTCCAGGCAGCCTTAAAAAAAGGCACCAACTAATGCAGGCAACTAAAAAAAAATTATGTACATGAAATTCACTTAGTATCAGCTTCTTAAAGCCCCCAGTACTGCAGAGCTTAGACTGAGAGGCAGAAGGGACACAACAAGCCAATTAGATGTGCTACAGTGTTCATGTGCAAAATAGGTATAAACATACTCATGTTTACTTGTAGGCATGTGTGATTAATTTTGTTACAAATTGAAATTCGGACATTTTCATTATTTGGAGATTTGGACTTATCCAGATTTCCGAATCACAATAGTAATGAATCCAAAATAAATTATAATGAAACAAATTATCCAAATTCTAATTTGAAAATGAATTTGAATTTGACAATGAATTCAAAGTTGAAATGGAAACATATTGCAATAAATGCAATAAGGTATACAAGTGAAATAAGATGATTCCTACTTAGGCTGCTTTATAGAACAGAATAGAATAGAAAAAATAGAATACAATAAAAATAGAATAGAATAGGATAGAACAGAAAATAAAGGAATAGAAAAAATAAAGTAGAACAGAACATAAATGAATAAAATAGAACAAAATAGAATAGATTAGCATTATTATTATTATTCAGGATTTATATAGCGCCAACAGTTTGCACAGCGCTTTACAATATAAGGGAGACAGTACAATTACAATACATTGCAGTACAGAAGGAATATGAGGACCCTGCTCATGGAGCTTACAATCTAAAGCATAGAATAAAATAGAACAAATATAGTCATCTTCCTACATTCTAATAAATTTGAATTTCGAATCAATTAAAAAATATTGAATATACTAAACTAATCTGAATAAATGAAACAAATTCCGATCATGCTTGGCTATAGGCAAATAGAAAGATCAAAGTCAGAGGACAAGAAGGGGGCAGAAACAGAAGACAATTGTACTAACAGGTCCATTGGTAAATGCTACGCAAAGGAATCAGTTTTTGAATAGGAGCTCTACCATCAAGCTAAACAAAAAACATATTTGCTACTTTGGCATCTTGGAGGAATTGGGGTTGATCTAACAAAGGAAAATACACTGTTCATTATACAAGTTGCACTCTGCAAGGGAATTATCCCTTAGTGAATGTGGTGAAACTTCACTTCGCAAAGAAAACCCATTCATGTGCAAGGAAAATTAAAAAAACAACATTTTTACTTACACGTGATTGGGAGATGAAAGTCAGCAGAGCTTCATGTTATTCTCTAGCAACGTTAATAGTCTATTTGCCTTTAGTAAATCAACTCCGTTGCTGAGAGTGTTTCTGTTATAATGTGCCCAGTTTGAGCAAGATGGCATGGTTGGTATTTTGGTATTTAAAGAAAACACGTGCCACCAGGACACCACTGTACTAGCTATTCAGATGATCTAGGAAATTAAAGAAATAACAAATATACATATAAAACAGTTGCATGCCTGTGAATTTTAGCCACAACTCTGGATCTCTGGTGGTCTTCAATGAGACAGTGATCAAAAGGGAGCTCAGAGATACTTACTGGTCTTTGGGACTAGGTGGCAGCAAAGTATAAATCCTAGATAAATCTGAAAAAAAGCTAAAACTATCTGTAAGCATTAAAAGT